ATCTCTGAGCCGATGTCATATTTGAATCGATCGGCAGTCATAAATAAACAAGAAAGAACTAAATCTACTCGATCGGCTGTAGATATTAACGGTATATAATACTTCTGTCGATATATACTTAAATCAAGTGATTGGGATAGATCGGTCGCCATGCCGAGACAGTATAAATCACTTAGATCGAAATATACATTAACAAGGAGATTATAAGCATTCATAGCATAGCCGATAAGATAGATCTAGCATGTATCGGCTAATACTCCGATACCACTCTATATTAAGATATTAAGGCAAGCAAAATATACCAAACAAGAAGCTTAATATACCTAAATGTGATGAGATCTTAACATAAGATTTAACATATCAATCAAGCATATGGGATATAAAGTAGTTAAATCAGGTAAGATTGGCTGAAACCCTGATGAAACCCTAATCGGCAGCCAAAAGCAGGCTAGAGATTGAGATTCTAATCACGACTTATATGGTCAAACTCAACTGATGCAGCTATAAGTATGAAAAGAATAACAATATCTAGACAATCATGCCGTTGGATATTTCATAGGGTGGTGGATACCCTATATAATCTAAGTCAACGTTGATATTTAACTTAATCGGCTGCCCTCCAGTGATAGACGTTAGCCGACTGAGGGTTAAATAGCAATATTGCCAGAGATTATATAGGATATATGATAAATCGACAACTTGCATAAACAAGATTAGAATGTCATAAAGATGTAAGCACTAATCCCGAGAACGCAAGCCGCCATGACAAGTTTACCTCTAGTTGAAGATCGAAACGATGCAGCTCAACTCGAAAGTAAGAAATCGTCGAGATGAAACGAAAGTAAAAAGGGTGGCGATGCGCCGAGATTGTATAGAACGTGTGTTATTTGATTACATGGGTTCGGGTCATATTTATACCCGAGATACAAGATATGTCCTTGTCGGACATGACTCTTATCTCTAATAAACTCTAAGATACCATAAGTCTTTACGGCAGACTTTTGCCCAAACTTATCTCTAAGGAAATTACATAAAATATCCTAATTAATAGATACAATTGCCATTTTTAGGACTCAATCCATGTGTGGCAATCCATATGAAGCACATTAGCTCAACCCGACGATGTGTATCGAGTCACATTGTCGAAATCGGCTCAATCGGCTACCTTGTCCGACTCAAACTCTACTGACCTGGTCGCAGCCGATTCGGACTTCAGCCGATTCTTGCTCTATTTCCGGAACGATCTATCTCTTGGATTCCGCTTCGATTTTATCTTAATCTCCGATACTTTGAATTACCAAATTTGATCATTAACACATGACCCCCAAGTCCGGAATATTTGGTAATGTTTCGGATTTGCCATATCTGATCCCCAAGAAAATCACATATTGCCGTTTTTCCGACCGTTATCGCTCCGCTTTAAATACTAACCGTCACCCCCGAGAAACTTCACACCGTTACTTCCGTTTTCACCGCCGAAGCGATTCTATCTTCTCTCTCTCCGGCGATCCCCTCGGCGAAGAAAGGCGATCTCCACAGCGATTCTAGCTCCGGCAAACTTCCGCTCGCAACGATGTCGTCCTCCGCTGGTCCATCCGCCGCTCCATCGGCTGAGTACGCTGAGGTAAATTGTAAGATTTTCCTTTGGCTAGCATTCAGAGACAGGCTAAACACCAAAGCCAATATGGTCAGCAAAAAATGGAATGAAGATCCCCACTGCTCCCTTTGCCTGACACTAGAATCAGCTGATCACATACTCCTAAGATGCAAAAATGCCAATAATCTATGGGAAAAACTAAACTTATTGCAGCTAGACAACAACTCAGAATCAAGCACGGCTTTCCTTCAAGCAATCATAGACAGCAATCGGTCTTCAAAAGGAATAGAACCAATTTGGTTCGCTGCTTGCACCTACACGCTATGGAAATCCCGCAACAACAGAGTGTTTGAAGGTCAGTTTGACAACCTACAGCACATCACACAGCAAGTCTCAGACACCCTTGATCTTTGGAGCATGAGAACCAATGAATCAAACATGCAGAAAATTCAATCCTGGTGTACCAGGCTCTCCTAGTATAAGAACCCTTGTTTATATCTTTGTAAATCCCACCCCCCGTTCTCTTTTCTTTTTATTTTTGTTTCTTCTCTTCTTCCTTTTCGTTTTTTTCCTTTCTGTTCTAGGTTAACTATAACCTCTAACTTGTAACCTGAAAACCTCATTTCTATTAATGAAATGATCTATTAATGAAATGATTATAAGGTGGAGCGCGCTCTACCTTCTTCCGTAAAAAAAAATCGCCGTCCTTCTCATCGCATCGTATGCCGAACCAACTAACGCATCCCACGGCAACAAGCAAACAGTATAAATCCAACTATTCCTATCCGACGTTTTTGCTGCCTCAAACTTTACTCAGGCTGTGTTCGGTACCCTTAGTTACCAACATCTCTCTCTCGTGTTCCGCGCGCATGCTTTTCAAACTGTTAAACGGTGTGTTTTTTTTCAAAAAGTTTCTATACGAAAGTTGTTTGAAAAAAATCATATTAATCTTGTCAGGGTTATGGATACCATATATCTAATAATAGTTGACTAAATCTCGACAGGACCCGTCACATACCATGTCTTATACGGAATCTGACCTCGGATATGGATGAAGTTCCGGATAAGAAAAGACAACCAGAGTTCTACATGGAAACGACAAGGACTACTCGGATTGTATTCATATTGGTTTCCTTAGTTCTACTTGGACAAGGTGACACCTATGAGTATAAATACAAGACCCCCTAGGAGGAGAGGGGATATAGAGACAATCAACATACACGGACAACATAGACGCCATAAAACCACAAGCCTACATACGCCAAGACAAGCCGCCGGATATCGACTTCAGCGATAAGCACGGCTAGTCCCCTACGGTGTCTTCGGATACTGTCAGGAGAGACGAAAGCGCTATCTCTGATCTCGCCGGGCACGGATTCGAGGAGAAAGGCTACTCTGTTGTCGACTACGAGTCAGATCTTCAGACCGCCATGTCGACAACAGTTAGATAGGCTACTCCAAACATTGTACTGGTGTGGTTATGATGAATAAGATCAATAACCGGCTTTGGCCAACAGGATGTAGGGCTATTACTTGTCAGATAAGGGGCCCGAACTTGTATAAAAATCCCCGTCTCCATCTCTTTTATCTCAGTCTCGCGTATATCCTAGTACCAACGATCCCCGTACCATGCAAATACCGGAATCGCGACATCAAACGTCGACAATGGCGCGCTAGGTAGGGGGAGTTTGGTACTTCAAGGTTTCGACGAGATGGGTTCAAAAGATGGATTCTCTGACAACAAGCTATTCGACGACTTCGCTGTGGGAAGATCCAACCCGACCGAAGTATGTCTCCCGACGAGATCGGAACCATCGTCATCAACAACTCGATCTCTCGAGATCGACCAAACCTCAAGATACGCGGCGTACCAAAAGACGTCAGATCATATGATGTCAAACAAGTACGCGGTAAGAGTAATTGGTAGATTGGTTTTTTAAATTAATCTACTAATTTCGTAGATACATCCGGCATGTATCTACAAAGGTACGCAATATTTTATATGCAATTTATCATACCTATTCAGATCATACAGAATTGTCAGATCTATAATTTATTATGTTTACCTAGAGCATGTCTTTTATACAATATCTATTGCACGAGTATTTCCGACGTTAAACCGACTACGGTCTAACGCTGGGGGCTTGCTCTGTTCTCTTCTGTATGAATCATGCTTGTTTACGGTTTACGTAATGCCTGATATTTACATCTGCTCGTAGCATCCTGATAATACTAGAAGATCCATGTAGTTCTTTGAGTACCTACTCGATATTCTCTGCTATATATCTTGCCTTCTAGAAAGTATTTTTCAGGAACAATTGAGCACTTGAGTAGGATGTGGTCGAGTACACTGCATTATCAAGAACGTTCTTGACAAATGCAGAGTCGTCGCGCCCAACCAACCAACGAAGACCGACGACCTATCTCATACACCGGCCATGGCTGGACTACTCGAGAAAAGGTTGTTAACGGATAATTGCTCACGAACAATGTCGGCTTGATCACCCGACATGATCGCGGACAGACATCCGGATATGCTACGAGTTGGGTATGTAAGTCATGCTGGCCACATGAGATACACATGTAATAAACCAACTCTAGCGCCTCCATTGGTGTTCGAGAGATAATTCTACTCGCTGGTTCTCGAATCAGTAAAATCGTAGCAATCTCTCACACCGCGACTTCCATTGGTGTTCGAGAGATAATTCTACTCGCTCGCTGGTTCTTGAACCAGTAGACTGTAGCAATCTCTCACACCGCAACTTCCATTGGTGCTCGAGAGATAATTCTACTCGCTGATTCTCTAACCAGTACAGCACCGCAAGTATGTACTATGTTTAGAGTTACATGAGTGGAGATAAGACAATGACAGGTTTCACTGTGTGGCAAGTTGGCAATAACCATGCTTGTTGTTTTACTGTATTTTTTTCCTCCCATAATAAAGTAAAGTAGGATTCCTGTTCACCGACCCGGCAAAAAAATAATTACTGCTACATGAGTCATGAGTGGAAACAATGACAGATTTCTACTAGCACAGGCAGTCAGAGACTGTAAGCATGCGCAGATTGGTAATGGCCAAAATTCCATCAACCCTTTGTTTCAGCTCAAGATGACAAAACTAATTTGAAGCAAACATTCCTGATTCCATGTAGCAAACATTCCCTTGTGAATCGAATCGATGATCCTCTTGATAGGACATAAAGATTTACTGGAGCTTGCTGAAAAACCCTACTGCTTGTACTGAAGTGCAAGCTACTGCTTCCAATAAAATGACAGATTGGAGATTTACCCACTATACTACTCTGTTGATAATTTTGACAGATCACCGGCATAGCATTTACCCAAAACAAGTACAATGCAGAAGGGGGGGGGGATCGGTTGTATTATAATACAACTGGAAATATATAACAAGGGCAAAAATATTGTGCTCCCAAGTTTATCGTGTGAATATTTATCTGAAAAATTTCTAGCTACTAACTAGATACAAGAGGTTTCATAGTTGTGAGCATTATACAATACGGAATACAAATTCCAAGCACACCTCCGGGGGGACAAAAGTAGTCTATACATTCTGTCGAAACCGTAATCCAGGAGTACTAGATATACTTACACGAGTAGTTATGTAGTAACAGCAAGCGACAGTAAAGTAATAACCCCACCCCTCACTGCAGAGGACTGGATATGAGAAGTAATGTACTAGTAACAGCAAGCTACAGTACTAGCCCAACCCTCACTCAACGAGATCATCTGAAGCGTTTGAGAGAAATGTACTCCAGAGAAAACATATGAATTGTGAGCAGCAGAAAAACTATTACCAGACAGTTAAGACTGAGTTTGTCACATTCGTCGATTACCAGAAATGGGTGTTTCACTTGCCACCAGGAGATATGACCGGTTCACTTGGTGAAAAGCTCATCTAGACGCAAGCAGAAAAGGGCAAGCAGTCCTTCGTCCCACATTGCTCTCATTAAGCCAGGAAGCGACATGGGTAGATATTGGTAAAGCAGCATGTCAACATCATTTGCAGAATACCATTTGAATCGTTCAGTCCTTTTTGTGAGATGATGAATCTTGTGGCATGAGTAGTTCCGACGGTATCTGCACTGCTCAGAGTTTCTGTCTCCATAGGATGTAAACTGACTGTGGAGCATCCACCAAAGGTACGGGTGTTGCTCTAGACGTACCTTCCAGTGACCACTTGAATCATTCATCCCATAGGGTAGCATCTTGAACACTTCGAACACAGATTGAAGTGATGCCCTCATCAATGTTTCATAGCATGCCATGAAAAACTGTGAGTGCAGTTTCAGTGCAAGCAAAGCAGGGTGGTTTCTCATCAGATAAGCCTCCTCAAGGATGGGATTTTCTAACATCTGCAGTAAGTCCTGAAAATCCTCAATTAAGATATCCCACGAACTTGGTGTTCCCAGCGATGCATTAACTATCTCCTTGAAAATCTGTCCTGCTTGGATATAATTCATTCTCATTCCTTCACATGTAGCATTCCTTGTGCCGCAAACTAACTTGAACCTTGGTTTGAATTCCGGGGTCTGGTAATTGCAGAATATTTTCAGATCTTTCAGACTGAACTCTGTAAGTTCCAGATTCGCAGAATGATGACTGCTGATGGTCTCCAGCACCCCTCTCATAGCTGGTTTAGCCCATTCTGTTAATATCACTCTATCAAACATGGAGTCGGGCGCATCTATTGGATGATGAAACTCCACTGCGGGATGCTTTCTGAAGAAGAACAAGGGCTCATAGCATGTTTCTAGAGAATGTTTATCCCTATACCTGCAGACAAAGGGAACAAACCATATGAATCAACAAGCAAAAGCATTTCCTATCATTTTGCATTTCATTGGGTAGTCGATGGTGTTCCCAGTGTAAAATTCAATGATGCTGATGTTTGGCACATATATGGTATACTGTATATTTTAGCTGAAATAAGACATGTCTAGTTTGCTTCTAAAAATTTTTTTAGCTGAAATATATATATATATCAGGGTTGCATCTCTACTGACTGCACAACACTGCACCTGCATGCCCAGCTCTGCTTCGCAACTCAGAGTAGTCATGAACTTGTTTTTTTTTTCACATTTTACTATTTAGAGGACATAAAAAACTATGGGGTTCAAATTTGTTTTTTCACATTTCACTAATTGGAGGACATACAGAATTATGGGGTTCAAGAAAAAATTATGGGCACCACTTAATGAAAAACTATAAAATTATGGGCACTACTTAATGAAAAACTATAAAATTATCGGCGCCACTTAATGAAAAAACTCTCTCCACGAAGCAGGGTAAATTTTGCTTTTGGAGACTTACTGTACTGTTGGATCCAGCGCGTGCAGATAAGCGGCTGTATCCTGCGGAGAAGTTGGCGGAGAAAAGCAATCTGACATCTCGTCGAGTACGGGCGGAGGAGGGGTAGTCGACGGTGGAACTGCATCGTCAGTCTCAAACTCTCAATCGGTGAGGTAGGAGACGAAGTCTCGCCGGTTTTCATCGTGTGCAGGGAAGGAGGCGTCGCCGCGGTAGATGATGCTCCCGTTCCGAACCACCGAGACGCCGTCCTTCCTGTCCACGGGCTCCCGGCAGACCTCGAAGGGGGGCTTGAACGAACGGTGGGAACGATCGCGGCGGACGTAGCGGGAGCAACGCTCCGAGGAGGGAGATGGGGCACCGTAGTGGAGAATGCGAACTGAGGAGGCAGCGCACGAACCGCCGACGACGAAGACGACCACCCTAGCCATGGCCGGAAAAACTCCTGTAGATGAGAACGTATTAGCGCGGAAACAAACGACGGGGAGAACTAGACGTGGATGACGGCGATACCTGCACCGGCGCGACGATGGAGCGACGCCCCGCCGGCGCCGACACCGCGGCGGCGAGAACCCTCGCCAACCTCGCCGCCTTCCGCATTTCGCGCTGATGAACTGATGATTTTGGTTTGGGGATTCCTGAGATGGAACGGGGGGTTTGTGGGGTGATCGTTTTTTTTTTTTTTTTGGTATTCTGTAAGGGGGGGGGGGGGGGGGGGGTTTGGGGTTTGCGAGGTGGGCTGTTAAATCTCTCGTATAAAATTAAACTTCAAAAATAGGAAGCACTCCAAAAAAAATATTAGGCTAAGTTCTGAAGTGCTCTACTACTATTTGATTGAGATTTCCAATTCACGTAAAACAAAACAAAAGTAGTCATTAACACACAATTAATTAAGATTTAGAACTTAAAAATGTGTTTGATTTTTTTTTAGAAACTTGTACTTAAAAACACATTGTTTAAATAGTTTGTAAACGTGCTCATGGTTAACGCCTTAATGAAAAAGTGGTCCAATCCAAACTCACTTTCGAATCTAGCCCAACATTGAGTTCTTAACGGAGTTTTGGCTAAAAGAAATCACTCGTTTAATGTGATCACGCTTTCCATACTATTAAATAGTGTATTTCGTCTAAAAATTTTCTATATAAAAATATCTTTATCAAATAGTTAAATGAATTTAATTCTTAAATTGATAGGAATAGTAATTAACACTCGATTAGTCATTTGCTAATCGCTCCGCTTGTTTGACATGCCACCGAAAACATAAGATAAATTGCCTAATGGAGCTAGGCCTAAGATTGTACTAGTATTTGACTAAGGCTGTGTTTAGTTCCGAAGTTTGGGGAGAAGTTTGGTAGTTTGGAAAAAAAAAAGTTAGGAGTTTATGTGAGTAGGAAAGTTTTGGATGTAATGTGATGTGATGTGATGGAAAGTTTGGAGTTTGGGGGAAGTTTGGTGTGAACTAAACAGGGCCTAAAAAGGACTTGAGAATCTATCTTGTGACTCTTGTCATCGTTGGTGGACCTTCATGAATTGATTTGTCGAGTAGCCACGTGAGAAAGTTGTCGATGCCGACCAAGTAGCAGCCCGAGGCCCCTTAGCCGGGCCTGCGGGTGTAGTCCGCGACGCTGGCAGAGGAGGCGCCGCGATAGAGGCCATTGCCTTCGTTGGTGGAATCCATGGATTTGTTAGTGGCGCTCGATCCTCCACCTCTACGGCATCGGAGGCGAGGGTTTCCGTCGACAGCCAGTGACGCCACACCGCCAACGCGTTGAAGGTGAGGGTTTTAGGCGACGTCCTCCACGACAGCTGAGGAGGAGGGGAAACTGGCCTCGCGGTGAGAGTGGGGCACGCCGTCGGCGGAGCGCGAAGCCAACTGCGCCGTCACCGCGTCGACAACGAGGTTGAGCATTCTAGGTGCCGCGAGTGTCGGCGGCGTCGCCGACTTTGGACCTCGAAGATGACGCACGAGGTTGGCGACGACGGACGCCGTCTTCGGCAGCAGGATTGACGCGCAGATCCAGCCGCCCCACCCCTCTGCCGCGTCGGCGGCGACCTTCCACATTTATCCGGTGGCTCCGATCGGCGCCACGCTGGTGGTGCGGTTTTTTTTCTTCGGGTTTAACGGAGGGGGGTTTTGGGTATTTAATTTTTTTGCCACTTTGAAGATTTGGCTATCTATGACATGTGGGTCATTACATGTCTATGACATGTGGACCCCGTGGTAAATTCTTAGTTACTTTGGTAAATTAGTTAATTATTATTCCTTGGTGGGTCCCATGTATCAAACGTGTAACGTGGACCCGAGACTCTATTCGTAACGTGCCAGATTGACATGAACGTGACAACGTGTCACGAATTTTTACTCTTCCTCCCCCATTCTCGCATCGTCCAATCTCTCCACCCCCCCCCCCCCCCCGCACCCCCCAAACCCTAACCGCCTCTCCCCCCGCCGCGCCGTCGCCATGGACGCCATCGACGCGGAGCTCGCGCGGGCGCAGGAGGAGCGCAAGAAGATGGAGGAGGCCCTTGCCGCCGGCGCGCCCATGGCCGTCTCCTCCGTCACCTTCGACACCGATCTCTACGGCGGCGGCGGCTCCGACCCCAACCGCTTCGCCGGCTACGACACCTCCATCCCCGCCTCCGAGGACGACGCGCCCGAGGACGACTCCGAGGCGGCCGTCAACCCCGCCGCCCGCCGCCTCGCCTCCTACACCGGCCACGCCGTCGCCGCCGCCGACATCCCCCGCGCCGCCGAGGACGACGGCCTCCCCAAGAAGTCGCAGCGCATCATCGACCGCGAGGATGACTATCGCCGCCGCCGGCTGGCCCGCATCATCTCGCCGGAGCGCCATGATCCCTTCGCCGCCGGTGAGGCCACCCCGGACCCTTCCGTGCGGACCTATGCCGATGCCATGCGCGAGAATGACCTGCAGAAGCAGAAGGAGCAGCTGCTGCGTGACATAGCTCAGAAGAAGAAGGAAGAGGAGGAGAAGGCCAAGGAGAAGAAGGCCGTGCCCGAGCAGCAGCCAGTGGCAGCGCCGAAGCGCCGCAATAGATGGGATCAGTCGCAGGATGGTGATGCTTCTGCTGCTGCTGGATCCAAGAAGGCGAAGACCTCCTCCGATTGGGATGCTCCTGATGCAACTCCTGGGATTGGGCGCTGGGATGCCACCCCTGGTCGTGTCGGGGATGCGACACCGTCGGTGAGAAGGAATCGTTGGGATGAGACACCAACTCCTGGGAGGATGGCCGATGCGGATGCAACACCTGCAGCTGGTGGCATTACTCCAGGTGCCACACCTTCTGGAGCTTGGGATGCTACTCCTAAGCTGCCTGGTGGGCTTGTCACGCCAACACCCAAGAAGCAGAGATCGAGATGGGATGAGACTCCTGCAAGTATGGGTAGTGCTACACCTGGAGGCACTGGTGCTGCGACGCCTGCAGGTTACACTCCTGGTCCGACGCCATTTGGTGGTGACAACCTTGCGACGCCAACACCCGGCCAGATTGCTTCTCGTGGTCCAATGACTCCAGAGCAGTACCAGCTCTTGCGGTGGGAGCGGGACATTGAGGAGCGGAACAGGCCTCTTACGGATGAGGAGCTTGATACTATGTTCCCGCAGGAAGGGTACAAGATTCTTGAACCTCCAGCTTCATACCAACCCATACGCACACCAGCAAGAAAGCTGCTCGCTACACCAACACCATTGGGCACACCATTGTATGCTATTCCTGAGGAGAATCGTGGGCAGCAGTTTGATGTGCCCAAGGAGTTGCCTGGTGGGTTGCCCCTCATGAAGCCAGAGGATTACCAGTACTTTGGAACATTGCTGAATGAGGAGGAGGAGGAGCAGCTATCTCCAGAAGAGCAGAAGGAGAGGAAGATCATGAAGCTCCTGCTCAAGGTGAAGAATGGCACACCCCCACAGCGGAAGACAGCACTTCGACAACTGACAGACAAAGCAAGGGAATTTGGTGCTGGCCCATTGTTCAACAAGATTCTACCCTTGCTCATGCAGCCAACACTTGAGGACCAGGAGCGGCATCTTCTGGTGAAGGTCATTGACAGGGTACTGTATAAGCTGGATGAGCTAGTCCGTCCGTTTGTGCATAAGATTCTTGTGGTCATTGAGCCACTTCTGATTGATGAGGACTACTATGCTCGTGTTGAGGGCCGGGAGATTATCTCAAATCTTAGCAAAGCTGCTGGTCTTGCTACCATGATTGCCGCCATGAGACCAGATATTGATAACATTGATGAGTATGTGAGAAATACCACTGCTAGAGCATTTAGCGTGGTGGCTTCTGCTTTGGGTATCCCTGCTCTCCTGCCATTCTTAAAGGCTGTCTGTCAGAGTAAGAAGTCCTGGCAAGCTCGGCACACTGGTATCAAGATTGTTCAGCAGATTGCTATTCTTATGGGCTGCGCTGTTCTGCCACATCTCAAGTCCCTAGTTGAGATCATTGAGCATGGTCTTAGTGACGAGAACCAGAAAGTGCGGACAATCACTGCCCTTTCTCTTGCTGCACTTGCTGAGGCTGCTGCACCATATGGTATAGAAAGTTTTGATACTGTTTTGAAGCCTCTGTGGAAGGGTATCAGATCTCACCGTGGAAAGGTTCTTGCTGCCTTCTTGAAAGCTATTGGTTTCATCATCCCTCTTATGGATGCGCTGTATGCCAGTTACTACACGAAGGAGGTCATGCAAATCCTGATTAGGGAGTTCCAGTCACCAGATGAAGAGATGAAGAAGATTGTCCTGAAGGTTGTTAAACAGTGTGTCAGTACAGAGGGTGTAGAGGCTGATTATATCCGGAATGACATCCTTCCTGAGTTTTTCCGTCACTTCTGGGTTAGGAGAATGGCTCTGGACCGCAGGAACTATAAGCAGCTTGTGGAAACAACGGTAGAGATGGCAAATAAGGTTGGAGTTGCTGATATTGTTGGGAGGATTGTTGAGGATCTGAAAGATGAAAGCGAGCCTTACAGGAGAATGGTGATGGAAACAATTGAGAAGGTTGTGGCTAATTTGGGTGCTTCAGATATTGATGCTCGTTTGGAGGAGCTGCTTATTGATGGCATCCTGTATGCTTTCCAAGAGCAGACAAGTGATGATGCAAATGTCATGCTTAATGGTTTTGGAGCTGTTGTCAATGCACTGGGACAGAGGGTCAAGCCTTACCTTCCTCAGATTTGTGGTACCATTAAGTGGCGGTTGAACAACAAGAGTGCAAAAGTTAGGCAACAAGCTGCTGATCTGATCTCGAGGATAGCTATTGTGATGAAACAGTGTCAGGAGGAGCAGCTTATGGGTCATTTGGGTGTTGTGCTGTATGAGTATTTGGGAGAAGAGTACCCTGAGGTGTTGGGTTCGATTCTTGGAGCATTGAAAGCTATTGTGAATGTCATTGGTATGACTAAGATGACACCGCCAATCAAGGATCTTCTTCCTCGGCTGACTCCTATCTTGAAGAATAGGCATGAGAAGGTCCAGGAGAACTGCATTGATCTAGTTGGTAGGATTGCTGATCGTGGAGCAGAATTTGTGCCTGCTAGGGAGTGGATGAGGATTTGTTTTGAGCTTCTTGAAATGTTGAAGGCTCACAAGAAGGGTATTAGAAGAGCCACCGTGAACACATTTGGTTATATTGCGAAGGCTATTGGGCCGCAGGATGTGTTGGCTACTCTGTTGAATAACTTGAAGGTGCAGGAACGGCAAAACCGTGTCTGCACAACTGTCGCAATTGCCATTGTTGCTGAAACCTGCTCACCTTTTACGGTTCTGCCTGCCCTGATGAATGAGTACCGAGTCCCAGAACTCAATGTTCAGAATGGTGTCCTGAAGTCTCTCTCTTTCCTCTTTGAGTATATTGGTGAGATGGGCAAGGATTACATATATGCTGTTACTCCCTTGCTTGAAGATGCTCTAATGGACAGAGATCTTGTTCACCGGCAAACTGCTGCCTCTGCTGTGAAGCACATGGCTCTTGGTGTTGCTGGCTTGGGCTGTGAGGATGCTCTTGTCCATTTGCTTAACTATGTCTGGCCAAACATATTTGAGACATCTCCCCATGTCATCAATGCTGTCATGGAGGCGATTGAGGGGATGAGAGTTGCTCTTGGTCCAGCTGTGATCTTGAATTACTGCCTTCAAGGCCTTTTCCATCCAGCAAGGAAAGTACGTGAAGTATATTGGAAAATCTACAACTCACTATATATTGGTGCACAAGATGCGCTTGTTGCTGCTTATCCTGCACTGGATGACGATGGGGATAATATCTACAGCCGTCCAGAGCTGGCGATGTTTGTCTGATCAATGTAAGTGTTGTTTCTTTCCTATTATTTTGCTTAAATTTTGTGGCATATATTATTGAAACTTCTGCTGTTAGTTACGAAGTAAGTTGTGATATTGTATCATGGGTTCATATTTGTTCATTCAGGTGCTTTCTTTTTCTAAAGAGCAACCATTGCATTACTCGTATGTATGATTCCTTTTGGTTTACTGCTGTCCTTGCAAGTGTTTTATCAGTTTGTACTGTTCCTCAACAAATGGGCATCCTTAGCCTGGGCTACTGTATGTTATTAGGCCTTAGGCAGTTTGACCTGTTGGAATAATGTTAACTTGAAACAACTTAGAAAAATAGAGCTCAGCTTTTTATAACTCACTTTACATTTACATTGATATGTTAGAATTCTATGGTCTTCTTGGTTACTTGGTTTCAGTGAACATCTATCACGAGCTGCCTATATTGAATGGACTAGGTTGCACCAACAGCTATTTTGTTCGGTTTGCTCCTTTTCAGTGGTGCCAAAGCCTTGGTTATTGTTATCATATGACCCATAGTGTGCAGGCACTAGTTCGTTTTTCCTTTCATGTTTCTTTCTGCAAATTTGCTTTATGTTCTGCCTTTTTCTTCCCTCTATGCAAAGAACACATCTGATGTGAGAACGCATTGGCAGGCAGGATGTACATTTCCATGTACCGTCATCCAATATATGCGTGTGAACTGTGAAGCTTGAACTCGGTGGTATTTGAGTTAGCTGATATTCAATTTATGGTGTTTACTTGTGATGGATGCATTTTCATTGAAGTTGCATTTCTTTTTTCTTTATTTGCAGGCTTGTTGCTTCTGAAGGGGGTGCAATGTTTAGGATATATTTCCCCCTGGTTTACTTGTGTAATGTAATGATAAATTGCTACCTGTTCTGATGTACTGACGTTTTTGTTACTGGTTTTGTGTTCAGGGTATTTTGACCCGGTTTGCTGAGGAGTTCCCTTAGATTAAAGATCCCAAGGAGATGATATCTGTCCTGAATGTTTACTTTGTTGCCGTTGCATGATCCCCTCCGCTCTGAAGAGAAAATGATCAACATAGTATTACTGCTGTCCCAATAACTGTATTATTAGCAAAAAAATGTTATAAGCTACTATCGAGATTGTGAACTTGTCTTATTATTAGAGTCTGTATTATTAATGTTATTACTATGCCTGGAACGTCACTTATGTATGTCTGGAACGTGGTATTAGTATTACTACCCTGCTCTGAGTTGATGGATCAATGGATGGATGGTTAGATCGTATAGTGTCTGTTTTCTTCCCGGACTGTTAGTTGTTACTTTAGAAAATGTTTTAAATTGTATTGCGTATGTTGTGGTTTGTGATCCATCAGACAAGCTCCTCATCAGTCACTAGTTACCTAAAGTTGCTTTAAATTCTGTACCTATCTGAGAACATGAGTTGTGGATGTCGAACTTATATTTGATAGTACAGAACACGAATTTTGCTTGAACATTGCAACACTTGTGAATTTTGCCTGGAGAGGTGGTACAAAATGCTCAGGAATCATTCCATATTCCCATCCAACCCAACGCCCATCAGTAGACGACGACGTCGACGCAAACGCCCACAGATACGAGGCACAAAATCGTTTCTCTCCGCGTCGCGCACACGCCACGCAAGAGGACCAGGTCGGTCCGGTGCGCGTGCACGGTGCACCACACCCACACCCGTGTCGGACGCGACGGCTCAACCGCTTTGACCCACCTGTCAGTCAGAGCCACCAAGGCCCGACCCAGGCTACAGAGCCCACCTCTCCTCCTCCGTCCGGTTCGCGCCGCGCTCCCTTCGTTCGTGCGCTTCCTCGGTCGCCGGCGATGGCGATGGCGATGGCGCCGGCGGTGGTCTCGGGCGAGAGGCTCGTCGTGTTCCTCTTCGTCGCCCGCGTCGCGCTCGCGGCGCCGGCCCAGCTCGCCGCCCCGCTCGCGGTCCTCGCCGCGGCCGCCCTCGCCGTCGAGCTCGCCGTGGATGGCTCCGCCTCCGCGTCCTCATCGCCGCTCCGCCGGTTCAGGACCAGGTGCGACGTTATATCCTCCCCCCCGCTCTTATCCGTATCTTCTTCCGCCGCATCTCCACGGAGCTGGGCTGCTAGTTCGCGCGATTTGGTTAGCTCGGGGGATTGCGCGATCTTGATACCAGTGTTCGAGTTTCAAACTCCACGAATTAAGTGTTCGAGGAGCTCCCTGTGATGTCAGGGAACCTGCGAGGTGCAGTGTTTTGCAAAATTCGTTGGCGCAGCCGTAGAATCTGAGGCGAATTGATCCATTTGTTGGTTCAGTGCTGGCTGCCTCCCTGTGAGGATCATGCAATTGGGGAAACGACATCAGTCGGATTCAGCATTCCGCAGGAATGCGATTTTACTTGTACTTGAGGCTTACTGAATTTTCTTTTGGTTCAGTAGTGTGTAAAATGGTCAGGTTTTGGTGGTTCCAAGAATCCAAGGGACAAATATCACTCTTGAATAATTGGGTTTCAGCATTTCTTAGTTGACCCATTTCACAAATGGTAAATTCAGAGGTGCTTCTATCATACAGCCAGTCAAAATATTGCTCTCATTTTGATGGCCAAAATAATGTTCCATTGCATTTTCAGCTAAAACGTTGCTCCCACTGTCATTTATATGGGTTCTTTTATGCAATGACAATTCAGGTGGGGAATCTCTCCCCCCCCCCCCCCCCCCCCCGGTGAGTTAGTCAAAAAATTTATATGGGTTCTGTGATGTGCAATCCTAGTTGCTTACTGTAAGATTTTATCACGTCTTGTGTTGTGAGGACTTCACCTTCTTGTGGTGGCTTGATGCTCTTGTGCATGTTTCTGTAAAAGATTGTTAAGTGCTTGATGATGATATATGTATATGCTCCAGGCCGGGTGCTTCATCAGGCATACTTCTTGGTGCCACTACTCTGCCTAGTGTCATGCTTTCACGGTTAATTCAACTTTATAGGGTCTTACTAGCAGATCCTAATGGACGTGAAGGTATCCATTTTTCTATTTTGTCAAATTTATCAGATCCACTGCTAAATGGAAATTTCCCTAAATCTTCATCAACATTTCAAATCTTGTTTGACACTAAGATTTTCGGTGACGCATCTGGTTTACTAACTACATATGTGTTCATTGTCAGAATATGCATACCTTGAAATGCAGTACTGGGCAGTATCTGTTAGCTGCCTTGGCATGTTATCATTTTTTGTTTGGCATCTACGGCAGTCTCCCAGCAATGGAAATTCTATAGCTTCGAAATACGGCTTGTTGCTCATCATTTTATATCCCCTGGCATACTTGTTCCACCTTTTACTGAAGACTGATGGAGGTACATGCATATTTTATCTGCATGCAAACATAATCTCACCCTTTCTTTCCAAAATCTGGTGGAAGTTCATCAGAAGCAAGGAATTACAAACTAATCTAGGTTGTCTTAACAGGTCTGCTGGTGATGAGTAATTTGGTGTATTTGCTGTGTCATGGAGTGGCTGCTGTGATCTTAATCCAGCATATTCTAGAGAAGTTCCCTTCATGTTCATCTTTTGGTTTGTACCTGAAGTCTAAGATGTAGTTAGATCTTTATTTTTTTGTTTATATCTGACTGCATATGTTTAGACTTTAGAGCTATCCATACGATTGCTAGTTATCCTACCAGTTTTCCATGCAGGCATAGTGCATTATATCTACACTGTTCATTTTTTAAAATTTAAATTCAGCTAATTTGTGTGGTTCCTATTGGCCGATGCAATGTATATGTCTCCTTTTCATCATGACTTGAAGCTATTGCTTTTTTTAACTTATCTTTACATTTTCTGTGAACTTAGGGGAGGCCATTTTGGTCTCAAGTGGTCTTGTTCTTTACTGTGGTGATATGCTGGCTCATACTCTTTCAAAGGTGTGATTTATTCCTCGAACTATGTTTTACCAGCAAAATGGTAGCAAATCTGATACTTATTTTGTTGCCTGCACATTTGCAACCGTGCTGCTGGCAGATGGAGTTCTCCGTATCATCAGAAGCATTTATTCGCGCACCTGGAACTCGAAGCGAGATAGGCACAGTTATTCAGGTAGAAGCTATTGCGTTCTCTGGCTTCAGTTTCTTAGTGCATAATACCCTTCCCTTTTTTTTCTTTTCTGCAGGGGGTTTTGCTTGGTCTTTTTCTTCTCCCCTTGTTATACAAAAGCTCCCTTCAAGTTTTGGCTTACTGTAGAAAACTGGAGAGTCAAAGAACACAAACAGTTGAGGAATGCACACAGAAGAGAATTGACTGTGGTGTATTTTATGTTTCATTGTTGGTAGCACTATTGTTGTTAGTGCCATCATGGACGCGTCTTATTCAAGGTTTTGAAGTGCATCCATTTGTTTGGTGAGCATATAAGTTTGCATTTCATTGGAAGGGCATAAAAGCATGCACTCTGTTAGTCAAATATTGAAAAATTTCTTCCTGTGTTGCTTCTAAACCTTGTGCATTTTTGTACGTATTGAATTTTGGTTCACTTAATGGTTTATATTCACAGGGTTTTTAACTATATTTTCACCGATTCACGTGAACGGCTTGCTTTATGCGCATACTGGATATTTGTGATATATGTATCAATTAGAAGGTTCTACAGTATATCAAAACAAAGCAAAACGGAGAGGATTCTTTTGCGCAAGTATTACCATCTCGTTGCTGTCCTAATTTTCTCTCCTGCAGTAATATTTCAGGTAATATATGTTTTCGATATTCGATCCCCATCAGATTGTTTGAAACACACTCTCAATAAATTGTTTCTCTTTGCAGCCTGATTTCTTGGACTTAGCATTTGGTGCAGCATTTGCCGTTTTCTTAATATTGGAGATGGTTCGAGTAAGCATTTTCTTTATTTGTGTCCCTTTCTTTTCCCCCCTCTTTCTGTTTTTTGGCAGTTTGTATGCCCACATGTGCTAATTTCTCCGACGAAATGTTTCACTCTGACCTCAGGTTTGGGAAATATACCCTCTTGGGCATATTGTGCATCAGTTCATGAGTGCCTTCACTGATCATCGCGATTCGGAAATTCTAATTGTTAGGTAGGTCTGGATTAATGGTCGTTGTTTTCCAGATTTTAACTCATTTACATGTTCAGTGCTTGGATAGGCCTAATACTATATTTGTTTTGTTCAGTCATTTCTCACTCTTGCTGGGATGTGCACTTCCTAAATGGATGTCATCAGGATTCAATGACCGACCTCTTACACCATTTGCTGGAATTCTCAGCTTGGGTATTGGTGATACCATGGTAGGTTCTATGTCCAGTGCGTGATCAGTTAATATTTTCTTATGTTAGCTGCGTTCAGTATGATGAATTCTCTTGTTTTACCTAGGCATCAATGATAGGTTATAAGTATGGTGTCCTAAGATGGAGCAAGACAGGAAGTGAGTTTAATTTCCATTATTATTTATTCCATGATTGATAATTGATCTCTTATGCACATACTTTTGAAATGTTAGAGAAAACAATTGAGGGCACAGCAGCAGGCATAACTTCTGTATTAGCAGCCTGCTCAATCCTGCTGTCACTCTTAGCTTCAAGTGGATACATACTTTCACAGGTTTTACTTCCCCCCCTGGCATTAAACCATTTGAAGCTTTTATTCTACAATATACTAAGCAAGCATAAATCCTGACCATCTCTTTTATATTAACACAGCATTGGATATCACTTTTGGTAGCTGTGACATTGAGCGGTTTATTGGAAGCATATACAGCCCAACTCGACAACGCTTTCATACCCCTTGTCTTCTATAGCCTCCTATGTCTATAGGAGCAACCAATTGTACATCAAACTACCTTGAGGCCCTATTCTTACCATTACTAATATCTAGTGACTAGTGCAGTACAGTATAGGTATAGCCCTTCGAATTTTTTTTTTAAATCCTCTTATTGGTCGCATTCTCTGTATTCCTGGACCGAGAAATTGTGTCCATTACTAAAAAGTTGAGTTTAGGTTTAGGAAATAAAGATGAAAATATGAAAGGTTGTTTAGTGAATCCTTCAGTAGAGAGCATCTTTGGTATGATAGACTTCTGAGCCTATCTGGAGGCATCAATGTATCATGGAAGGTATGTTGTCTTTCAGAACCAGAACTTCTTCTGCAGGTGGTGAGACCTATTTCACCCCACAACTCCACAAGCAGTTGGGCAAGAATAGCAAGCTGAGAGTAAAGCCATATGCTGCAAGGAGCCTGAAATACGGAGACTTGGTTCAGAATTAATGTATATGGTACCTTATTTCCATGGACATGCGAAGTGTAATTAGTTGTAGTAGCTAATCTCCTGTAAGTTTTGCGTCATCACTGTACGGAGTAAAAGATCACTACTCAGATTGCAACCGCGCATTGATGTAAATTTTGTTCTTGACCTGAGAAAAAATGAAATCGAAGTAAGCAAAGCTGCAAATTAATGTTCTCTTATTGTGAGATTGGCAGGTTTGCGATGTTTGAGTTGTTTGTGTGATCTGTTTATCTATCAGGATACCTCCACCTGCCGACTTGCTGTGTCAAGTTCAGTCAGATGATCCTTGCCTAATTGTCTAATTGAACAAAAGTTCAGTCAGTAGTCTTTAATATGGTATTCTAAGTAGTTTTTTTTTCAAATCAAGCTGATGAAAATAATCCATGTCCTTAATATGGTATTCTAATGTCAGAATGCATAGGCCAAAATGAATTCAATTATCTTAACATGAACTTCTATGATCCAAGCCCCATGTCGGTTGCGTTGAGCTGTCCGCGTTGGAACTCGCAACGCACCCATGCTCCATGTTCTTGCGCGATTGCTGTCGTGCCGACTAATTAATTACTTGCCCGCAACGCAACATGACATACTGCAACTCTGCTCAAGTTCACATCCGGTCCATCCAAAAAGTACTGAATTTTGCATAGTTTCCTTCTTTTCCTTTTCTCACCGTGTCAAACAACACCACCTTGTTACCCAAGGAAACCCCGGGAGTCATCGTCGCAATCACAGAAACTTCACAGAAAACAGTAAGTATTCAATTCAAGTACGTCTAGACCAAAAACACAACGAAACCTAATCAAACTCCAGCCGAATTTCGCAGAATTTCGAACCACCTTTGGCAACCAACCATCCCACAAACACACACAGAAAGGAAATGTCCATACGTACTAAAATTTCCTTACAAAATACTTATAGACTATGATGTGATGAGCTCTAAGTAAATCTAGATCTCTTGTAACTTTCATCCATCTAATTAAATTAAACGGTTATAAAAAATTTGTTAGTATGACTTTTGTAAAAAAAATTAGGCTGTGTTCTTCCCCCCATTTTCCGAACCCACCTCTTTCGTTTTCCGCGCGTACGCTTTTCAAACTGCTAAACGGTGTGACATATGCAAAAACTTTCTATATGAAAGTTGTTTTAAAAAAAATCATATTAATCTATTTTTTAAAAAAATAGTTAATACTTAATTAATCATGCAATAATACAAGTTTCGTTTTGCGTCCTCCCGAACACACCTTAGTACGTTATCTCTCTAATTGCTACATTTTAGGATGAGGGTGGTGTAACTGTGCTTATAATTTTTTTTTAAAAAAAGGAAAGGCCCACACGGACACTAGGCCCAAGGCAAGCCCACCACTCGTGCTCGTAACGGAACGGAACGGAAGCAAACCCTACCCCCCGTCTTACTCATACTCCACACTCCACAGTAGCAGCCGGCCCGTAGAACGGAACGGAACGGGAAGGGGGAGACGAGACGAGGAGAAGAGAAGAGAGAAGAGGTCGAGCCGCGCTCCGCCTCCGTCGGGTCCCCTTTATAACCTCTCTCTCTCTTTCTCTCTCTCTCCTCCCAAACCCTCAATCGTCGCATCGCCTCCTCCTCCTCTCGCCGCTCGCAGCGAAAAAGCCAGCGCCTCCCAGCGCCCACGCGATCCCGACGAATCGAATCGAGTCCGAGACGCCGATCTCGGATTCGAGACCGTTGATTTCAACCAACACAAGCCCTCCTCCGGATCGATCCGCTCCTCTTCAGGTAACAATGAACGATGGGATGGGATGGGATCCCGCTGAGGATGCTTTTTTTTTTCTGTTTTGTTTGTGCTCGATCTGGATTCGGGTTGGTCCGGCTTGGCGCTGGCTCGATCTGGGTGTCGCCGGGTGGTGGGGGCGTGGATCTGGGTTGGTTCGATGTGATTTTGGCGAGTCTGTGAGAGAGAGGGGTTTGGGTGGGAGATGCGTGACTTTGATTGCTTTAATGATGTTTAGATTGTTATATCTCCGTTGGCATGTTTGTTATCCTTTTGAGCAGCTATAGAAGTGGTATGTGGTGCTTGACAATAGTAATTGATGTTTTGGGTGTCCTAGTGTTTGCAAATCTAAAATTTGTAACATGCTAGTATATGTACTTTTTTTTAATGACTGCGTTAGATTATTTGTCCTGCTAAGCACTTCGATGTCCTGCTTTGTACTTTGATGACTGTTAGATTATTATCCTTTGTATGCCAAGGACAGTGGAGGAACCATAGGAAGTCGAAGGTCTTTATGGACCAAACGAAGGTCTTTTTTGGGCCAACTAGTTTGGTCTGTTCGCTTATTGAGTATGCTGTGTTAGGAGGATTCCTTAGATTAAGCTCCACATGCAGTATCCATTGTATACTGAGCTTGATCTCTAACCTGTTAGGTCGATTAAGTAAATTCTGGACTGTTGCGAGTTTGTGTTTCCCGGTTCGAAGATTTCATGTTGTGTGTTGTGCATAAACCCTGTTCGAAGAGATCATGTTGTGTCGTGCATAGACTTCAACTATGGGTGCTATGTTCCTTGTGTGCAGCAGAAAGCTATAAATGTACTAACATTTATTGTGCGGGTCAAGACTGCTTTTACAACTGAGTTTACTACTACTTTGTGTCCTTCAAACATTATTGCCATTCATCCTTTGTAACCTGCTCTTTTTTTTCCCTTGAATACAGCCATGGCAGGAATGGCACCCGAAGGCTCCCAGTTTGATGCTAAGCACTATGACAGCAAGATGCAGGAACTACTGTAAGCCATCGTTCTATTCTACCGTATTTGTAATCTTAGTAGCAGCTAATGGATGTTTGATTTCTCATTTGCACCACTCGTTATGCTATATGGGTTTCATTATGGACTTTGTGTCTCTCGCAACATGCAGGCACCAAGGTGACAATGAGGAATTCTTCACTTCATATGATGAAGTTTTTGAGAGTTTTGATGACATGGGCCTCCAAGAGAACCTTCTCAGAGGCATCTATGCTTATGGTATACAAAAAGTCTTATCCCTTTTCCATTGTTTCAACAACACATATTTTGGTGATGTTACAAATCCCTGTACTTTGATGTGTAGGTTTTGAGAAGCCATCAGCTATTCAGCAAAGGGGGATTGTTCCCTTCTGCAAAGGGCTTGATGTGATTCAGCAGGCTCAATCTGGAACAGGAAAAACTGCTACCTTCTGTTCTGGGATCCTGCAGCAACTTGACTATGGATTGGTGGAGTGCCAATCCCTGGTCCTTGCACCAACACGTGAGCTTGCCCAGCAAATTGAAAAGGTCATGCGTGCTCTTGGTGACTACTTAGGTGTCAAGGTGCATGCCTGTGTTGGTGGAACCTCTGTCCGTGAGGACCAAAGGATTCTTGCTAGTGGTGTGCATGTTGTTGTTGGCACACCTGGACGTGTGTTTGACATGCTACGTCGGCAATCTCTCCGCCCAGACCACATTAAGATGTTTGTGCTGGATGAAGCTGATGAGATGCTCTCCCGTGGTTTCAAGGATCAGGTTTGCTTCTGACCAGCCCATTATTCTGCTATAATACCTCCAACAGTTTGTATGGCTGATCTTTTACATTATGTCTTCTGTAGTGTTCATGTTTGTGTAATTGTGTTTTAAGAGTGTTTCAAGCATCAAAATCTGATATAAGTACAACATATTTATGGAATTGTTATCTGAGTGCGCGCTATGCTTATGTTTATGACTTAATGTTACTATTCTTGAAGAAATCATAGGTGATTACTAGTTTGTAAAGCTGGTAGTTCATTTTTAGGACTCTTTTAGGACTTACAGTTTCTCTCTCTCTTTTTTTTTACTTGCTGACCTTCACCTGCTTCATTGGCTATCTGTTAACGCAACAATATGACTGCATATTTTTAATACATGTACTATGTGTGTCTAATGGTTGATGAGCTATTATGGAAGTTGTATTTCATTTCTTTATGCTGTAGTGTTGCATGGTCTGAACTTACATATGGTGTTCCCTTTTCAGATCTATGATATCTTCCAGCTCCTTCCACCAAAGATCCAGGTCGGAGTGTTCTCTGCTACCATGCCTCCTGAGGCCCTTGAGATCACCCGCAAGTTCATGAACAAGCCCGTGAGGATTCTTGTGAAGAGAGATGAGCTTACCCTTGAGGGTATCAAGCAATTCTACGTCAATGTGGAGAAGGAAGATTGGAAGCTCGACACTCTTTGTGACTTGTATGAGACACTGGCCATCACCCAGAGTGTCATCTTTGTGAACACCCGCCGCAAGGTGGACTGGCTCACCGACAAGATGAGGAGCAGGGACCACACTGTCTCTGCCACACATGGAGACATGGACCAGAACACTAGGGACATCATCATGAGGGAGTTCCGATCTGGTTCTTCCCGTGTGCTTATCACCACTGATCTGCTTGCTCGTGGTATCGATGTCCAGCAAGTCTCCCTTGTCATCAACTACGACCTGCCCACCCAGCCTGAGAACTACCTCCATCGCATTGGTCGTAGTGGTCGGTTTGGCAGGAAGGGAGTTGCCATTAACTTTGTCACCCGCGATGATGAGAGGATGCTGTTCGACATCCAGAGGTTCTACAATGTGACCATCGAGGAGCTGCCGGCCAACGTCGCTGACCTTCTCTAGATTATGTCTTAGGAAGTAAGGTTCTGGATAAAAGTTTGTTTTTGTTTTTGTTTTAATATGACCAACTTTCTCGTTTGGGAGGAGTGGTAAGGACGGGGTCTATTTGAATTGTGGTTAAGGACGGCTTCCATGTTTTTCTCTTTTCCGTATGCAACTATGTTTGGAAATTTTTGTAGCTGTTAGGCTGTGCTGCTTCCTGGGCTAGCTGGGAGAGGGAGACACTACTGGAATATTTACTTTCTTTATTAAGCTATGCTTGCCTTGTGTTATTATTCCAATCTGCTCTTACATTCTTCAGCTGTTTGCAATCCGTACAAATTTTGTTCTTATTGGTAATGTGAAATCTAACTTGTTTCGAGAAAAAGTTTATGTTCAACTTATCAAGAATTCTGCTTTATCAGCATTTGGTGGTGAGAAGATCTTGTGCAGTTACACGTTGTGGATCAACCTGGTAAACATTATTGCAGTACTGGTTGGCTGTGTTTTTTTGGCTGTCTGGTCCAACCACAGCAAGATCACAATAGCAAAGCAAGACCACAGCAAGATCACAATAGCAAAGCAAAGCTTGTGCATCAGTAATGGACGTTTGGTGAGTACTATTACAAAGCGAAAGCGATGGGCGTTGATTATGATTTTATTGTGCTTGCTATCCGATTCAGAGCCTCATCAGCATCATCCTGTCTTTTGCGCCTTTTCCTCTCTGGACTGGAGTCACTGGAGTGATGGCATGGGGCATCTTATTCCTCCACTTGCTACACAAAAGAGCTAGTACTATCTTTGATAGGGACACTGGACTGGAGAACAACTCTATGTGCCTGGAGAACAACTCTCCTATAGGCTGTGTTTAGTTCAGCGCGCAAAGTTTGGATTTTTATTGAAATTGGAAATAATGTGACTGAAGAGCTGTGTGTGTATGACATGTTGATGTGATGGAAAAGGACTGAAGTTTGGATCCAAACTTAACTTTAGATCTAAACACAACCTGTAAATTACTACACTGATAGGAGCACTATATCATACAGCCCTTGACGCCAACAAAATAAAGTACTGTCCATATATATATATATATATATATATATATATATATATATATATATATATATATATATTCCAATTTGTGTTCTCTGACCTCCTCGATCAAAAAGCTTTCTATAACACCGAAAGGTGAACTTTCAATTGTCATTTTTGCTTTTATAACCCTGAAAAGTAGAACATTCAAGGTCATCTTTTGGCTAATTTGTTAGACAATGGAAGCTTTTTAATTGAACTCCCCAATTACATTGAAACGATACAATTGTACTAACACTTTCGATCTCTACATAGCAAGGATATACATGGCCAAAGCACTCTCACACCCTCTCGTTTGAATTCGATACATGAAGTTTTAAAACTTATCAATCCGTAGACTAGATCATCCTGGGTAAAAAGTTCTCTAACTACATTCTTCAAAGGCAGACATGTCGCAAGTTCCAAATCATGTGTACCTGGCTTGAGAAGTACTCCCTCCGTCCCACGATATAAGGGATTTTCAGTTTTTACTTGTAACGTTTGACCACTCGTCTTATTCAAATTATTTTTACAAATATAAAAAACGAAAAATTGTGCTTAAAGTACTGTAGATAATAAAATAAGTCACAAATAAAATAATTAATAATTTCAAATTTTTTTAATAAGACGAGTGGTCAAACGTTGCAAGCAAAAACTCAAAATCACTTATATTATGGGACAGAGGGAGTACAACGTTTTGATAAGTATAAACAGTAGCCTTTTGTCCTTTTGTGGGAAAAGTATTCCCCACATTTTTCGCTAATACAAGAAGATGCACCCACGTTTGCTATCACATCGTGCGTTACGCACACATAAATCTCCTTGTTGTTTCAGCTAGAAATTTCAACCTTCCTATTTTATTAATACTACTAAGATAGTATTCTGATTTAGTTTTTGTAATTTGTAAAATCTTCAACAAAAAGTTCTTTTGATTTGAAAACTTGAACTTTTGAGTTCAGTTTATAATACTAAAACCTTGAGGTAGAAATGTGCAGCTTTCTATGTATTAGCACTAGGAGACAATACTAATGATTTAGTTTGTGTAACCAGTGATATATTCAAACTAAAAAGCTTTCAACTGAAAATTGTCAACTCCTGAGTTCAGCCAATGTCCAACTTTTGGTTCTTCTAACCAAAGTTTCACCATACACTTTTGTCAACCCATATTTTTACCTTGGACCATATGACCCTATATTGTTTGAATTTCATTGTGGACCTCCTTTTCTGTTCTCCTGATGTCCTCATTAACTGCTCTCCTTAGTCCTAGCCTCCTAGGTTTCAAGTATTTCTTAATCATATCGATTTGTCAAGGGTTGGTTGCTTTTTCCCTATAGAACCAGCATCGAAGTCTCGAACTTGCTCATATTTTACCTAGATTAAATGAAAGGTTTGAAAATATGTGGCTAGTCCTATCCTATCCTAATTACATCGGATGGCTAGCTTCTCCTAATCATCTCAGTTTTTTTTTTCACACTCAGTCCTCACACCAACACTGCCCCTAAACATCTCCACTGACTCATAAATTATGGCCACGTGGCGCGTGATTTTGAGAAGAGGAGGATAATGGGGGTCCAAAGTGAAATAAGAAAAATAAACACAGACAAAAAAAAAAACTAAACAAGGCACTAAGAGGAAAAATCTGACAAGCCGAAACTGAAATTCACTCGAAAGACAACCAGATTGGTTCTCCCTTTTGGGCCACTCGCCACAGAATGAGCCCATCAAAGCCGAAGCCTTCCCTTTCTTGGCCCACCAGGCCCGGCCCACCCGTTCGCGAAAAAAATCCAAGGCCCACAGATCCATTCTTGGAGGAGGGGGCAAATCGAGTCGAAACGAAGCCCCCCGTCGCCTCCGTCGCAAGCAAACCGGAGATCCCCTTTCCCTTCTTTGCTCCCACCACCGCCTCCACCTCGCACACCCAGCGGCGGCGGCGGCGCCCGCGGATTTCTCGCTCGCGCCTCCGAAACCCTAGCTCTCGCCCGTAGTAGCCATGGCGCCGCCCGAGAACCCCAACGGCGCGGGCCCCGCGGCGCCGTCCGACCCCGCGCAGCCGCAGCCGCAGCCGCCGGCCAAGTCCAAGTGGAAGAAGAAGGACGAGAAGAAGGATGACGATCTGGTGAGTGTCCCCCCGCGTCCGTTCCCCGGCGCGCAACGGCCGATGGGAGGGAGATCGAGATTCGGAACCTCGGTTTTTCGTTTGCTGGATTCGATCCGTGGTTTTGTGTTGACTGTTTTTTTTGGTGGGCAGTCGGAGGAGGATTTGGCGCTCAAGGAGCAGCTCGAGCTCTACGTGGTTCGGGCGCAGGACGCGGATCCCGGCGTGCAGAAGCTCGCGCTTGAGAGTATGAGGTGCTGTTCGCTTGCTGAAATTAATTAACCGATTCTTTTTTTTAGGGTAGGGTAGCGTCGCGTCGTTTCCTGAATCCCAGTAGGAAATCTAGGTTTAGATTTCTGGTCTCCAGGCAAATTTTGTAAATGCAGTGGTTCATAGGGTTTATTTTGATCCACCATAGTTAGATTTACTTGGTTAAGACCAAATTTTGTTGCTTTGATTTCCATCTTCTGTCACTAAAATATCATCCTCCCTAAAAGGCAGGAGATTCGTTCCGCCACAAGCTCAATGACATCTGTACCAAAGCCACTGAAATTCCTCCGGCCACACTATGGAACACTCAAGTCTTACTTTGAAACCATGCCAGAATCTTCTGATTTGAAGGTATATTGTCTGTTGATTTCCCAGTTGTGCAGTAGCCTAACTTTCTCTTTGTCACAGCGATGAATGCTGATAGTAATTTCTTACTGTTTTTAGAGGTACATGGCCGACATTTTATCAGTGTTAGCTTTGACAATGTCCGCTGAAGGAGAAAGAGTATGTTCCTGCCACAATAAAAGCTTTTTGTATCTAATCTGAACAAGATATTTCTTTGTTTGAAACTTCAGTACTTTTCCTAATGTTTTTTTGCCTATTACTTGTTTCAGGAAAGCCTTAAGTACCGTTTGTTGGGCTCTGAAGGTGATATCGGTTCATGGGGTCATGAATACGTAAGGTAAGGGCAATTTTACATGTTTTTGACATTCATATTTTGCCTTCTAAAGTGGTATGATATGCTTGTGCCATTATTCTAAAGTGATAATAGTGTTAGTTAGCTGTAACTTGCATTTGTGTCATGAACTGTCACTTCCTACTCCACTTATATTTGAAAAGTTTTTGTTTTTTCATTCTTGATTCTTACTTCTGTCCAAGCATATGTTTGAACTCCAGAGTCCAGACAATGTTTCTGTCCGTGCTTTTATTGGGAATGTCAAAGCGTGCCTAGTTTATATTTTGAGGTGCCAAATAATTGAGATTGAACTAAACAGCTTTGTCAATTATTGTTAACTAATATTCCTGCGACCAATATACTGAGTAACTTGTAGAATCATGGGACAGAACTAACTTTATGATAGTCATAGCACTGTATTGAGTTCTAAACTATACAGTTTTGTTTATGATTAGGAATGTTTTTTTTGAATCAATATGTCGATTGTGACTGAGGTTGTATCGTTGGAACCTTTTAATTAGTGTCTTTGACATTTTATTTTGCAGTGACTTATCCCTGATTTATGTCCAAATTACCTGAATTTTAGCTATATTTGATATTTTAACAGTGTATTCAAACTCAATATATTATACTAATGTTTTTTTTTTGTTTTCATTACATATTTGGGTTCTAATGAAATAGCTGTCTCTTGTACAGAAATTTGGCAGGCGAAATTGCACAAGAATTCCAAAAGCGTCAGGTACCACTCTCACTTTCATGTTAATAGAAGCTCTGAAACTTTTACATTTTTTTTGTTACCTTGTATTTATCTTCCCTTCATGACTTTGTTCTGAAGTTGTGATAAATTGTTTCTTTTGTTATTTGGTGACTTAATTCACTACTTCCTATCATGGTCCCTTTCTGATTCCAGCTATTTCAATAGCTACGTATTTGTTCCTTCTTGTTTTTTTGTTAAAGCTTGTTGACTTTTGAATAACATGCCCAGAGACTTGCATTGATGACTGTTGGATAGCTGAAATAAGTTATGAGGTTACCATGTTAAGAAACCGTCGTTTATTCTTTCTTGCCCCCTATGTGATTCTCTCGCCATGCATACTATTTGTCCATTTTAATTCCATGATGCCTGTAACTAGGACAACGTTTCTTTAAATGTTTTGTTTGAGTGGTTGGAACCTTTGATTCAATAATTA